GGGCAGCCCCCCGTTGCGGCCCCCCGGCCCTTTGAGACCCCCCCCCCCCCAAGGTCATAATTTTCATCTAACCAGTCCAATTCTGAGGACATCCGTCCACCTAATTAATGACGCACTTTCATAAAGTAAAATAAATAAATAAATGACAATCTTTGCCTCCTTTAAATACCTACAGGTCAGTCCGGCGGCAGCGAGACCGCCAGCTCCGGGGCTGGGATTGAAAAAGCAGCAAAGCATCAGCAGAACTGAACTGCTGCGCAGGGCTCCCAGTTGGAGCGGGTTCTCTCCGCGCCCTCCCTGCTCGCTTGATGGGAAATCATGCCGGTCAGCGCTGGCACGGTGCGGCCAAGCTCTCAAGCACAGTCTGGTTACTCGTGGTACTACCTACACATTTCCTTCTGTAGCTATCGAGCTTCACCGTTCCAAATTATTTCATGAGCAAACATCTAGGGCGAGGCTGCTCGGCCCTTACTGGGAGCCACCGAGCGACTTACTGTGGCCCACGTGGCTCCCACTCTGCTCTGGTGACCACAGCTGAAAGCGCCCAAGGTCGGCTGCAGCCACCCCTTCAGCAACTGGGAGAACAGCGAGATGCACATACACATATACCTGTGTTAAGTATGTACACGTAACATCCTATGTGCTTGCATGCACATATAGACTGATGGAGGGAAACTGTTGAGCAGAGCCTGCTCCTAGTCTGGATCTGGACCCCAGTCTGACAGCTGAGCACAGCTGGGCAGGATTAAAACCCAAGCCCCCGTCTCACGATGTGTGGAGGGATGCTGAGCTCGATGCTCCCCCCGGCATCATGCTCCCCCTGCCCTTGCAGGTTCCCTTTGTTACTCCCCCGCGGTTACGGTGGAGTTCTGACAAACCTGTTCTGTAAATACGCGCAAAGTCTTTCTTCCAGGACTTATTTCCTGCAAGATTTGTACCTCATTTATTCCAATATGCAGACTATTTTCAATGTATATATATCCTGCCTCTCATTTATTCCTGCCTGCCTCCCGCCCGCCTCCAGCCTCCTTTTGTTTCCCTCTTTCCTGGTGAATCCAACACACAGCCTCTCTCCTTGAAAGGAAAATTAATGAGTTAGCGCATCTGCTGCCACTGGAGCTGCTGCTACCCTGTGACAGCGGCAGACGTAGCACAGATGTCGGATGCAGAGTCATTTTGGATGGCTTTTGGGGGAGAAAAATGGTTTCTTCTTCCCTCCCCAGCCTGCAGTGCTCCGTTCGCCAGGGTGCGGGAGCAGAGGGCTCACCGGGAGATGCGACGCGCCGGGAGGGATTAGGTCTGCTGCAGGGGAGCGAGGGAGAAGTTTTCTCTCCTCCTTCTGCCACAGGCTCACTGCCAAGATGCCGAGCAGGAGATTTGGAGAACCAAACCCTTTCCTCACCCCAGGGTTGGTATGCGACTCCTGAACAAAACTACCAGGCCTGGGCCCGAAGAGGAGAGGGAAACGAGCCGCTTTTGATTACAGTCTTGGCCTGGGCTACGCTTGGCAAGCGTCACTCCTGTTGGCAGCAGAAAAAGGAAAATACCGTTTCTTTTGCAGAAAACAGAAAGGTTTTTACCTAACAGGGTCGCTTTTCCCTCCCTTACACCCAGAAAAGTAACCCCTCGGAGAACCGCGGCAAAGGCTTCTTATTGCTTATTTTATGTAATTATTCCTACGTGGAAAAAAGAAAACCAACTGAAACCAGCCCTGCCACCGGCCAGCCCAAAGGCCAGCCCGTCCCCGCCTGCCCAGCGCAGGGCCTTCAGTCATTTTAAAGCCTTTTTACTCCCCTGAACAGACCCCTTGAAATCAATTCCTCACATTCTCTAAACCCTGAGCCCACAAATAAATCAACGCAGGACAGGAACAGCACACAGCAGCAGAACCAGACACACAAGGGGTATAACTGAGGTGAGCGAACACCCGCAAAGCCAGGATGACAATATCATCCGTTCTTTCAAATTTTAAGAAAATCACCAAAAACACTGACTCCGAAAAGGCGAACCCAAAGGACAGCTTAGGCAGCCACCAGTTTTGATCCTTCAGAACAAACGCCAATGAGCTAAGGAAACATCTTGTTGTGATTTTTATTGATTTCATATTAAGAGAGGTCAGCCTATCCACAGCACTGTAACACTCCGGAGTGCTGAACACACACAACCCTCCTGTGTCTCGCAGGTTTGATGCGACTGAAAAACACAACCTTTACAAAATGACAGTAAAAGTGTTAAAACGTATCCAAAATAAGCTAAAAAAAGCAAAGAACTAATAATATTTCAGTTTAACATCCGATTTTAAATAGGCCTACACATAAATAAATGTGTTAGTCTTTAAGTAAACGTGCTCCATGAAATCTAAAATCGCAGGGTTTCTAGGGAATAAGATTTCTCCTGAAGCTTACGTGACTGTTCTCAGGATAGTGCAACTTCTCTCTGCCTGAACACGTGAAACTGATGCTGGAGACAGTAACTTGCCAGACCTTAAAATAACAAATACTGAACATTTTTTGACAGGAATAATTTCAAATAGACTAATTTTTTTTGACAGAGAGAGCTTAACAGACTTCTCTTACTGGTGGTGTTAGATAATTAACACACACAAGCCCCATTAAAAATAATTTAACCTCCAAAGCTGGTCTCTAGGAAAGGTTTTTAAGGACTTTCATAAAATCCCTTATAATGTAAGTCTCTGACGTAGAATATGCATTTCAGCAATATATTTTATTAACAGAATAAGTAACTGCTCATCATATAAACAGATATATTAAAAATAAACATACTAGTTAACACCTGGGTAACCAATACTAAGGCAGCACACCTGCACAAGCCAGGTACTTGCCAGAGCTGAGAGGTGCTACGAAGGAAAGGGAGCTCTGTTCAGTTACAACAGTTTGACAAGACATTCAATCATTTTTCAAGGAAATATATTTGCTGAAAAATTTAGAATAAGATTTATTTTTATTAGCTTATCCAAATACTATGTGATGTCAGGGAGCATTGAACATTGGGCCAAGGGTGGCTGTAATGTCAGCAAAGGGAGCACTCTGACTGAGCTCAACAGCTGACTGCTTCTTCAGAACAAGAAGGATGTAAAACTTGGCCACAGCTTCTTTCCGGTTGTTTTTCCGACAGAGCTCCCGAAAACTAAAAGAATGCACGCCTGATCTCTTCAGGTGCTGCAGAAGGGAAACCAGAAAATGAGTCAGGTCAGCTTCACTGCCAGTAAAACCAGATCCCATCAAGTCTGAGCTGAAGAGTGCTGCTCAGAGTGAGTATTTTCTGCTTGAATGCCTTGAACAGGATCTTACCTTGGCATTTGCATTTATATAAGTGGCTCTTAACATTTTATTGCCATAATATTGCTAGCACCTACATATGTTACTAAAATCTACATAGGCCTGCAGTTCCAGTGAATTCAATGACATTGTAGAGGCATGCGATGAAGAGCATCTGTAATGGGTTTCATGATTCAAAACAATAAAAATCATTGCATCCCCTGTTCTTTGGATACAAAGTACCAGCTATATCCTAGTCAATTTCAGGCATAGCCCTGAAAACCCTCTTGCCCACACTCAGATTTCTCCATCGCCTTCCTCCATTCTCCCCTCAGCTACATCGGTACACTGGATTAGGAGAACTGACCTGAAGGAAAATAACTTTTTGCTGTGTTTTTTCTACCCACCCCCAACCAGACCAACACTGCAGCACCAAAACGCTAGTCCAGGCAAAAAAGGAAGGAACAGGACTGAGACATTAGGCCAAGAGTTTGGACATCCAGCATCAGGGCAGCCTGTGCTGGCTCCTGTCAATATGGCATATCATATCATACATTACAGCTTCACCAGTTGTACAAGGCTTTCTGCAAGAAAAGCAGAATAAGCCTTCCTGATGCAAAGGCTACGCTCCCTGCTAAATTTCAAGCATCTTGAAAGCACTGGGGCATTAAAACCTCTTAAAAAAAAGACATTACCAGCTTTCTTTTTAACATAACCCTCACTCATTTCCCTAGCCTTCATCTCAGAAACAGCTCAAGCAGATGAATAGCCGAATGATGATAGCCTGCAGTGCTCAGCTGAGATCTGGCAACCTGTAAGGAACAGGGTTTTGTAGAGATACTCCAGAGCATACTCATAGAAGGAAGAGAGCAAGGGCTTAGCGTTACAGCAAACGCTGCTGTGGAAGCAAACGTTCAGAAAATGCTAGTGATTCCAGCAGCTGTGGGAGAAGACACCATGTCAGGCACACAGAATCCTGGTTTCCTACATAAATACCCCATAAAATGCAGTTACACGCTGTGTATGAGGGGCAGCAATATGATCAACAGTAAAAGTAAGAGATTTTCTGACATAGTCCAACTGAAATCAACACCTGGTTTTGGCATCTAATTACAAAATCCAGCACTGGTACCTGTAAAGTTTTTAATAACTGAAGAGTTCTTTTGTTCCACCTTATTTCTTCACTGTCTTTCGTGTTCCTTTTTAGTTCCTTGAAATAGAACAGAAAGTTAGACAGCATGTGTAAAAAGTCACACACCATGATGATAAAAAGGACAAGAGTTCTAGGCTAATTGAAAATCCAACTGGAGCTGGACATCTTGATAGCCATACTCAGGATATCTGGGACCTTTGACACCTCTGCGGTCATACTAGGCTTTGTGAAACAGATAAAAGAATGCAAACCACGTTCTTTCCGCTACAAAGAGACAGATCGGGTGCAACAACATGTTGGGTACTATGGAAGTGGTCCCAGTCAGCCTTGGGGAGGCAGCTTCACAACAAGATACTGTTCTGCGTCACTGGGATTCTGACAGTATTTGTATTGGATCAAAAAGGATGTTCAGAAATTTGACTTTAGATTTTGGGCTTAACCTCTGAAGTCAAGAGGAGAAGACTGCCCTTGTTTCAGAGCATCTGAGTATCCTCATAGCCAGTAAGTTCAGAAACTGTTTCCTTCTTACAGGAAGCACAATCACTAAATAAGGAGCTGTTTCCCTCACAGACTGTAACCTTTGAATGTTGGAATACACGTATCCCCGATTACCAAGCTTTAAAGTTTTTGACTGGCAAAATATGTACTAAAGACAATGTTAGTACACCAAAATTCACCATAAGTTCGTGATGCCATCACCTTTTTTTTTTTAATGTTTCTGAGAAAGAAGACAGTTCTCTTTGAAATAAGTCAAGAGTTGTCAGTTTTGAGTACACATACATTTGTTAACTCAGCTTGCTGTGTTTCAGCTTTGTGGCCCGGTGAATTGGTCTCCAGTGAGGAGCTCTCAGAGAAAGCCATTCCGTCCTGCTGTTAGAACAGAAAGGGCAATCAATAGGCATTACAATTTATGCATACAATGTAATTCTTGATTACATAATTCTGCTCAAAGAATTTATTATAATAAATGTTTTCCAAAATGATTTCATAGTTGCTATTTGTACCACGTCTTTTCTCACATATGAAAGGACCTTGCTGTAGTATTTATCCTACAGTTGGATCTACACCTATGGGCTCAGTTCAGGCACAGACCCTACATTTTCTGCTGCTGCCATTAGGTCCAATTTTGTCATTCTTTTTCAGCTTCAATGAGCCTCATATTCTCTAAAGAATGCCCTTTCACATTAGCCTAAATAAAGATGGCAGAAATAGATAATTTGTTGTTGCTTAAGTATCTCCTCAATATGAAACACAAAAGATAAGTTTTATCCTTTATAAAGATGATTATATTTCTCTCTTTTGTACAAAGAGGTTATATTTCATATTAAGGTTTCATTTATACTTAGTGATTAGATTATAATCTAGATTGATTAATAGACATTTTAATTAATCATTTATTCATTCTGAGAGTCTACCAAAGTGCTTATAAATAAACTTTCATAACACAAGCTACTTGATGTTGTATCAGCTGTTTCTAGCACCCTTTTCAAGTATATATTAGTAATTTCTTAATGTTTTTTAAATGGAACCTTAGCATTAAATGAAACCAATAAATACATTTAGGTCTCTAAAAGTTATGGAAACTGCTCACTATAGTTTCACCGCAGTTATCATCAGTTTCATTTCTGTTATTCTGTGATGTCAACATAAACAAATCATTTCTAATTTTTCTCTCAGTCTCTGAATGAGCTGACTCCTGCAGGTAACTTGACTCTTCTACTATCAGCATCTCTGTATTAATAAAAAAACAAGGTTTAAGAGGAAATTACTGTGAATTGCTGTCCTTAAAAAAAAACAACAAAAAAAACGCATTAAAAACAAAATCACACCCCAGTTAGAAATCTTTGAAAGTAAGACAGAATGAGTAAATATAGAATAAATATCATTCCCAACAGGACCATGGAAGAACAACCTTCCAAGAGAGTTTTTCCTTTTCTAAAACGTGACCTTTATGGGCTTGCAGGAGGTGGTTTTCTTGATTAACTTCCAAGGCAAACATACAGACTATATTTCTAGCAGAGCAAAGGAATGAAAGCAGATACATCACCTTCTCAGAAGATCTAAAATTGAACATTTCTTCTTGCTTGATATTAACCAAAACACAATCTTCTAGATACAAATAGAAGTTATTTACATGAATTTGGAAATTTAGAGAATGGTTTGATTAAACTCAGAATTAGTGGGAAGCTTTTTTTTTAAAAAAAAAAAAAAACACAAACAAAAAAAGCCAATGAATCTGCAGTTTGGTAGACAATTAGAGAAACCAAAAGGTAAAACCAAAAATACCTCCTTATGCCACAAGGAAGAAGACTACTTGCATTTAATTTCTAATCTAAGGAACAAACGAACAGCATAGTACTTAAAAAAGGTTTTTTTGTTTTTATGTTTTAAATAATTACCAGCCAATTTCCTTAACATTTAACTTTTTTGACCTTTGATTTATAGAATACTGCACACAAAGACTGTGCACATGTCTCTCCAACATTATGTAAAATAGAAAAAATTTTCTAACAGCTAATTCTGCAACAACAGAATTAAAATATTACCTGTGGTATCTTGTTCTTTTCTTGTTTCTTCCGTTTCAGATTCCCTCTGTATTCCATTTCTTCTCATCTTAAATCTGTGACTCTTGAAGCATTTTGCAAACAACTGAAAAAAATTGTTTTTATTTGTTTGCTTTCAAAATATCATGTCAGATTATTTGCAAACATCAACACAAAGACATGAATATGAACTGTATATTAAATACTGCAACTCAGAATTTAGATATTTTAATTAGGTCATTCTGAAAATCTGCAATTTTTTTTTTTTTTTTTTAAGTAATAGCCTTCTGCAGCTTCAACTTTGGCAGTGAACTCCATGAAGAAATGTCTTAGGAACAGCTTGGATTGTTTTTCCTCAAAGCCAGCCAGTAAGGAAGGATGAAAGAAACAAACATCTGCAGTTATCTGTGTGTGGATTTCTCTCTCCGTGTACTGCTGTGTGAGTATTTTTCATCCTCATAAAGAACAACTTGTAATTCTGCACCTCGACTCTAAGAGGTGAAGCTGTGCTGCTGTAACGAACCTGCAGAGAGCTGTTTGCCTGGAGACCCTGCCTCCCAGATCTCTCCACGCTACACAACAGAAGAAACAGTGCAATTAACATAAGGCTGCCTCTCGTAGCTTACACCATATCTTTCCATATCACCTTGTATACACATTGATCTCTTCTTTATCTTATCATCAGCTCTAAACTTAGAACTTTTTTGAATGATCTGTGAGATATTACATGGGGACATGAGAGGCTTCGATAGATCGTATTTCCATGTAACAAGTATGTCTTTCTTGTGCAAAAAGAGCAGCAAGGTCCACAGCACAGGAAAGGGTGGTCTGGCCCACCCTTCCAGGCAAAGTGACAGCGTGACCAGGAACCTCTTGGTCCTCTGAAAGGCAAGTCCCTGACTGCTCTCCAGCTGGAAGTTTAATCTCCAATCAGGAAAGTACAAAACAAATTGGTATACCATCTTTCCAAAGCCATTAACAATATTATAATAATAATGTTTGAGCCTTATCTACCTTTAAAATAAACATAGAAGAGAGATGTGGTCTTATATTGATTACAGAGCAGAAATAAAACAGAAAATAATAAAACACAGTAGAAAGTAGAAAAGAAATTGACAGAAATCTAAAAAGTTGCATATTACTGTACAATCAGTCAGGTGCCAGTATGTGAAATGGAACATCAGCTCTCGAGTTTCTTCATCATTTTTTACTTGTTGTTGGAGTGCTGGAGATTAAAGCTGTGAGCACTATAGATGGTCTTTCTGATGAAAGAATTAGTGGTGAGCATGCAACTAATCATCAGGTACCCAACTGAACTGTACTGCAGAACAATACTTCCAATGATGCTACGCACCTGCAGTTTGCTAGGAGTTCACATAAAACCAAGTCTGCAAAATCTCTCACAGTTAGATCCTAGATGTGCAACAGTCCCTTAATCTATACAGTGGCCTAAAAACCTACAAGGCATGGATCTTTACCATTTGCAGCTCAGCATGAACCACAGGCTGTGTGGCATGGAACAGGAGTTTATCCACACCTCCTGATTTCTTCCACATCATTGTTTTTTTTGTTGGGGGTGCAAGGTCTAACGTAGCAAGGATGTCTGCGCAGTTTTTAAGTTGGTTGTATATAGTGTTGCAGCTGAGTTCTTTCTCTACATCCACAAGCAATTTCCTCTTTCTTTTCTTTTTTTTCCTCTGGGTGACAGCTAAATAGAGCAAGTATTTAAAAAAAAAAGTCTAATAAGGTCTATTCACACAAAAAAGCACAAAAAAATAGCACTGTGAATCAAACAGACAGGCTGCTGACCTCCTGAAACATAGCACAGACCTGAAAATCTAAGTACAAGTGCATGGGCCATTTCTCCAGAAGTTTTCACAAAGTATACTCCTTGTATTCTTGTACAGGAAATTCACATATGTTTAATTACGGAAGACATATGACTATTGTACTAAAGAACCAGGAACATGAGGACTTAATGAGAACACGTGATATACTAACAAGGCTGAATAAGCTATCTTTAATCCATCAGGAAGTTAATTGTTCCAAGAACTGCTGATGTACTCAACAGGTTTCATCACCTCGTAATTAATATCTCTATTTGTCTGTTTAATCCTTTAGCAATTTGATTAAGATGTACGTAGTAAACACAAAAGACAGACACAGATTGGTTATATATCCATAATTTCCTGAATATTATTTTGGCAGGCTGGAAAATTCCAGTATTCTAAATATTAGTGTCAACATGAACTTTTCTATTTGCAAACAGCCACCAATGTGATAGGTGATGTTTAGATTTACCCACAGAAGAAATGAAACATTTTTCTTTTTGGATCTTATTAAAGTTACAAGTTCACAAAACATAATTTTACAAAGGCCTGGAAGTTTTAAGATGGTTATTTTACACATAAAAATCACTGATGTGTCACTAGCGATAAAAGTTCTTCAGCTGAAACTTCAGGAACACTCACGAACAGACCAGGCTTGCGCTGCTAGCAAAACTGCAGAACAACGAAACTTGGTCTGGTATGTGGAAGAAACTGTAAGCAGAGATTTGGGCAGATCAGATGAATAACCTGATACTGGTTTTGTATAATGGTTACCTTAAAACAGAACTCTGACAGCAGGAGCAGATGAAATCAAAAGTGAGAATAATCTGTTTTGCAAATATTTTCACTAACAAGAAAAACCAAACCTAGTTAACACAAACATTCAGCAAGAAACCGGTCAAGTTCTGACCTGTATCATCAACTGGCTCAAGCACAAATCCTTCTTCTTCATTCAACAAAAGTATTGTTTCATTCCTTAGATGACTGACTTCCTCAATGGTGGCGTCTGCACAGTTGGACTCAACTATAAGAAAACACAGCAAATAACCCAAATAAAAAAAAATAAACTACAAGATGGAATAATTTCTCAATCTCATGACATAGAATGATGTCAGACAAAAAAGATCAGAATTAGAAAACAATTATTTTGTCTATAATCTCACAATCACTTTAACCAGTAATAAATGGCACTGCTGCTGCCCATACTCTGCACCACATGCTTCCCTTTGCTGACACCAGAACCTGTATGACGGGGTGGTGGAACACACTGAAGAACTGCTCTGGGGGAAAACCCACCTGACAAAAAGTGGGTTTAGGGGGAAAAGTGTTTCAATACATATCTCTTTCCAGTTCCATGCAACTGCATGGCAGTGTGGACATTTCTGGCAACATAAAAGGAACAGGTAGCACCAGCACTAGTGCAAGAAGTGGCAAGTGCCACTGCTTCCCCTTTAAAGCTGTTCGAAAATTCTCAGTTAAGTAACAGTGTGATGGGGGTATAAGAATTTAAGATATTTAAAAAGAAAAAAAAATTCCACAGAAACTCTTCAAAAATTAATTTCTTTCATCAATATCAAACCAAAAGAAGACTAACACCTTTATGAACTACTGAAGTGTCATTTGTCACTGAAATACGAAGCCAGAAATACTCACAGGTGAAGTTCAAAGTTACAGCATACCCTTACTCAGTTTCCTTTCCCCTACAAAAGCATATCACACTGTCTGAGCTGCAGGGTGGATCAACAGCATATCCAACAGGATGTCATGTAAAAGTGTTTCTAAGCAATGTCAAGTTACAAATCTGGAATTTCTAGGTCAAATTAAATTATACCTAAAGTGGTGGATGAAGCATATCAGAAAAAAGCAAAATAAACAAACAAAGGAAAAAGGCAAGGGATATTATACAAAGCTGAATGTGAGTAACTTCAGGCATTAATACAGGAACAGAGGGTTCATGTGAGTAAGACAGAGTGGACACTGCAAACTCACTGGCTGTGCTGTTCTCTGGCAGATCTTGTGACAAAGGACGTTCTTCCTCCATATCGAGAATGTCTTTTTCTAGGTCATTTTGCTCATCCCTCAACAGGATTTCTTCAATACAAAATGCATGGTTTTAATCATTCTAACACTTAGTCATGAAATATTAGCCTGATACAGCCTAATGTTACTTATGGAAGGTTAATTTTCTGCAAACAAAAAAAAGCTCAGCTTCCACAGATGGCTGTCAACGGTACAGCTGTCTTCAACAGTACAAAAAGGAGAACACTAGTCTTAATTTTGATTTCCATCCTTTCTTTGAGAAGTATGATAATAGCATTGTTTAAAAGGTATAAATCTATAAAGGTTTATGTAAATACTCTAAACCATAAAGATGTAGAAGCTACTTTGCTGCCTTTGTTATTACAAAATAAGGATAAAAATGCTGCAGTGTTTTACCTTTGAAAATATAAATTAAACTGTTAAACATTAAATATAAATTGAATGCCTTTAATTCTAAAAAACTGAAATGTATCCTTTAAAACAATTTTCCTTGGCAATGTTTAAGTGATCATAGATTTAGTGACAAGTAGAAAATAATGAAGTATGAAAACAACAAATACAGAATTTATGGCTGAAAACAATCACTTTCATGCTGTCTTGTTTGTTTTCCTGCAAGAATAAAAATATTTGGAAAGAAACTAATTCTGTTTATCAGTGGCAAACCCTACCAATCATATCTGCAGCATCCTCCTCATCTCCAAAACAGTCATGCTCAAAACAGTAAGTATCTTCACGCAGTGCAGACTTGTCTCCATTCACGCTCGCAGAGTTGTGATCAGCCACAAGACTGTTACTGCTTGTTAAGATGCTGCCATCAAAGAAGCTCTGTCTTCTTAGTGCATCTGGTTCTTCATCTGAATAAACACAGAATTTCTGATGTTTCATCTGCAGTAATTTTTTAAATGCATATTTATCCATTTCCTAATTTCTCAAATAATTTTTAAAAGATTGTACAATATCCCATACCTCAAATGGAATAAACTGTAAACAATTTTAGCTAATTCAGTAAAAAGCAGAAAATGTTGGGTTTGATTCTCAGTCTCCGATATCATATTATATTACTTAGGCAGAGTACTTACACAAAAATTTAAGCATAAGACAGTATGACAGGCCAATCAGCACAAGTGTGAAACAAATGCACTTTTAATAATAGCTTTTCCACATGTGGAAAGGACTCAGACTGTACAAAATTTTGCATAAAACACACTTTTCCTTACGGAATATTTCTAATTTCTCAACTTCTCTCACCAAAGTTTCTATCACAGAGAAGTATATTGCTTTCGTAATCCTCTGTAAGTGTGATGTCTTCAGCTCTGCTCTGATTCAAGGTAAAATGTTCAGCAACATCAATGGCACTGATGAAAAAAACATTATACAAAATATAGGGTGAACTGAAACCCATTGACCATTTAGCTGGAATTCACCATTTAGTGAAAACTTGTCTCTAAACAGTCTTCAATCCTGATGTTTTATCATAAATCCCCCAAAGATAGCTTCTGTTTTCTATGGCATTGGAAGTACCCTAGCTGATCCTTCTATGGAGAGAGAACAACTGTTTCCCAAAGCTAGTTGCATTCAAGTCATTTAAGGTTTTATTGATAAAATTCACTGCTTTGATTTTCCTCTAAAAGCTAAAAATAAGCATATGGAAAACAGGTGTTATATGTTTATTAAAATTGATACCTCTAAGCAAGTAGGCAGCCGCCTTCTTTGCTAGCCAAAGTTTCTATGCAATCTCCAATGTATGTTGTACAGCAAAGACTGAGTCTGCAATAGCCATTAACGGCCCCGTAGCTAGGGAGAGGTCCACGCGGGAGGGGAAGGCATTTAGCTAACTCAACTTCAAAATACTCCCCACACCTGGAACTCCATGAACAAATGATCCAGATGTATACTCAGAAAGCAACCCCGTGAAGAGGCAGCAGACATGTTTATAAGGACAAGGGAAGCACCCATCCTCCTCTCCATATTTTGTATTTCTCCACTCTGGTTTTGTCACTAAACTTGGGCTTACGCAAGTTCGTTCACATCCAAGCCCTGCTATCTAACAGGTGCTCGTCACATAGATGGCATCTAATTAGTGTAACACCATCATCTGTAAATCAAGCCACACAGACTCTTTGGGTATGCAGAAGAGGCACACTTTAGAGTTAGCACACTGAGGTACTTGAATAAATAGTATTACATCACAGCTGTACTTACAAAATACTAAACACTTACAGGTCCCATCAAACTGTATTTATGATGAGATACAGAGGAAGCCTCAGTGGAAACCTGTTATCCTGGACCTTTGGGGGCATTAGAGCCATCAGAAACATGTCTTGGCCTCCTGCTTTGTAGCAGGTTTTGTACATTAATGCTGATGCGTGTCAGAAAAGCCAAGAAATATGCTGGCTTTTCATCGGGAGCCAAGCTGACTACTGCTGATAAAATACCCCAGCCGCAAAGAGCAATGAAGCACAAATTAAATGCGGTTACACAATGGAACAGCACAACAGTGTGAGGTTACTAGCCAGAGCTTCCTTGGTCTTACAACAGGATTTATACTAACTTCTATATCTTCTCTTGAGGTCAGAAAGTTGTTTGCAGGCTTCACTCAGACAATTTAAAATCCTGAAGTCTAAGTTCAATACACTATTTCATTGTAAAAGTCTGTTGTTTTAATGGACTCTGAGGAACTCTACAAAAGCACAATTCCTGCGACAGCCTTGTAAAGCTGACTCAGAATTTAGGAGAATTCAGTTATCAAATGAAAACAATTCCATCCAAGTCTTGATCGGATAACAGCAAGGATATCTCTTACTTCTGAAAATACTAAAATTATTAATAAAAACTAGGGAAGCATTTACTTTAAATCAGGTAGTGGCATTTCAAAATCATGAAATTCTTCAGGTAATGTAATGGTCTGATAAGCAGCCTCAAAGTTCTCTTCTGGAAGGTCAACAAGTCCTAAAAGAAATGGACAACATAACAAAATAAGTATCAATAAAATAAAAGTAATGTTCTCCCAAGTACGTATAGTAAGACTATAAACCTGTCAGGAAGGTCTGCTGCCATTCTAAATAACAGAAGGGTAAAGCTTAGGCACTTTGTCACCAGGATTCCAAAGTGGAATTAAAATCCTCAGTTTATGTATATTTTAGAAGCCATATTTTTTACAGACAGATACAGAAGAGTCTGCTGCTACTGGACCTGCAGTACTGTACATACATTTGGTTTATGAACAGCTGCTTTAAGTCCCTGAAAGATTCTCACAGCTGACATTTAGCCTAGAGTCTTTCACACCACTTCAAATGAATTACTGTGTTTTCTTTTTCTCTCCAGTGTCTGTATAACACTATTCTCCAGCATCAAATAATTATGAAGTGAGACTGCAAATACTTGGTAATCAGAGAATCCTGGAACAATTCAGGCGAGAAGGGATTTCTGAAGGTCATCTAATCCAACCTTTTGCTCAAAACAGTTAATTTCTAAGTCAGATCACTTTTGACTATTTCTACTGATGGAGATTCCATAGCATCCCCGGACAGTCTGTTTTTGCATTTTACTGCTTCCACTGAGAGTTTTTCCCTCCTTATACCTAGTTGGTGTCTCCATTGCTGTAGTTGTGACCATTGTTCTTGCGCTGTGCAGTCCTCTATAAGCTACTATAGTATCTATTCAAAGTAGATAGTACTGTGTACTTATTGTGTTTCTCATAGAGACTTCCAAATGTTTACAAATATTAACTAACTAATCATGATCGTATCCTTGAGAATAATGTATGGTAGGTATCTGCTATTCTGCAAACAGACCAGGTCACAAAGCACGTTAGCTCTGGCAATAGATGCTGCTGCCCTGTTCTTAGCCTTTTTTTAGGCAACAGTGCCTCCCCATTTGTGACCCAAGTATGACAAACATACAGCCCCGTTCATTGGAAAAGGGTCCAGTCATCTCTGCTCCCTTTTTGCTGGCTACGTGGCTAGACCTCAAAACACAGTCAGATCTGGCACTAACACAGTTAGACATGTTGTTGGTGTCATCAGAAATTAAAATTAATTATCTAGCAACAGAGGCTGAAATCAAGCATCTTCTTGCACAACCACTTAAGATACTGCTTCTTTTAAAGGAGTCAAGGACCTGAAATGGCGTTAAATTAAGCCAGACTAAACATCAGCATTAGGCAGTAGTATGTTCAATTTCCTTTGGCATCAATAACGTGTATTTAACATAAATACCCATAATTAACTTTTAAAATTAAAGCTGTAAAGGACACAGATGGAAAAATGCAGAATTCTCCACATACCTGGGCGAAAGGCTGTCTTCATTTTTGTCAAAGCTTCACTACAGTCTGCCAAGAGGTACTTTGCTTTTCTGTGGTAAATCCGCACCACTCCTAGGAGTAAGTGTCCAGAGGTTCGCAGAGCTATTGTAAACTTTGATGATTTAAAAAAATTGTTCAGGAGTTAGTATTTTTGGCAAAAAACATTAAAATGAAAATATTACACAGTAGCAACAGAGTTCCAGTAACATACACCAGTACAGAGCTCTACAAAATTCAACAGGGCTTTGTACTGATATAGAGGATCATAAACAGAAATGAATTTTCAGAGCTAGGAACTTCTAGTTGCTTCTGTTCCTAAACATTGTCATGCCAAAGTGCAAGTCCTGAACTGATGCTCTTACTTTATCTAAAACACCTCAGCTTATTACCAATGAACAGTGTAACACATCCTGAAACAGAAAGTAGCTGCGCATACCCTAGTCTTTGACACTTTGGTTATTTAACTGAGCAGACACCAGCTATGCCCTTATTCATGCAAACAAAGGCCATAACTATGCCTTTATTTATGCAAAGTCTTCCTGCACCAAGCACACTCAAGGCTGGGCATGCTGATGCTAGACAGGACAGCATGCAAGGGAAAGTAGAGGGTACTTAACTAGTACCTCTTGGGAAAGGCTTCCAGATGATATCAAGATCATTTTAAAAACACTCAGTTAATCATAACCAAGACAGACAATGAAATTCAGGCTACCAAACATCAAGCAGGTATTTTCACAGAGGAAGAAATAAATAAATAAAAAATCTGCTTGCACCAGCCGGAAGCCTTGGATCGCCGAACCATCAATAAGTGACAGTGCAAAACGTTCCTCACTGCTCCCTGGGATGAAGTTGCAACAGAGAGGCCAAGGACTGAGTCATGGGTACTTGACTGCCTGCATTTGTGCTTGCTTGAATCATACCTTATCTGTGACATGCAGAGGACTTCAGCCTCTGGGACTTCTTCATCCAGAGTCCCTCATAAGCACTACGTATGCTTAATTAAATATTTAACAGCTTATAATGGGGGACCTGGAAGAAGTCCACTGAAAGTGGAAGGATGGTTACAATATGTCAAAAGTTATTTATTTTAAGATCAGCAAAAGTATTCTCTTCAAGTGGTCTGGGTACAACTTCACGGCAGTTTTCTTAGTCCCTGACTTTGGTTAAGCAGCTGACTTTTCAACCTTTTTGAGACAATTTCCTCAAATACCAGCATTTCCCAAATTACATTGAACAATATCAACTCAAAGTCTCTGAAGAAAGACCAGGGCTACCACACCACACTGATGGGCTCGTGTTGCCTCACGAGCCACTCAAACCCAGGTACCGTGACCCCTTGGCCAGCAGTGCCCACTCAGCACTCCCTGGAGCTCTATCCATGTGTGGAAAAACAGATTTGAATAAATTGTGGTAACGCTGGCTTACACTGTACATAAATTTATGCCACAGATCTCCAGGTGTAAAACAGCAAGTAAAATACTTGCATAACTGTCATTTAACGGGATGGAGACTTTAACCGAGTGAGAACTGAATTAAAATCAGATTAGGAATTTACCTCATACTGGTTTTGAAACAGCCACAAATTTGTCCAGCTAAGCGAGTCTCCATGATAGCAACAGTCCTGCTCCCTACTGAAGATGAAGGCCTCTAGCCCTGAACTTACCAGAAGACACCTTCTCATTTAATAGCATACCTTTGGAGAGATGATCTTTTCAACGGTAGTCTCTAAATTGCACTCAAATATATGAGCTTTGGTGAGCTTCTTCTGCCAGTGGGCAGCAAGCCATATTTTGGCCAACGGCCCGCGCTTGTTGATCAGCAAATGCATGTAGAACATGGCGCCTGGGCCGAGGCTCACAGGCCAACCCTGCTGCCACCTCGCTGGGCTGTTCCCCTTTCCAACGGGAGAAGGGTCCTGGGGCACAAAGCGGGAAGAGGGATTTAGCGGGACCCAGTTGGATGCTGAGGGGACGGGGGGGGATTTAGCGAGGTCTGAGGGGATGGGGGGGGAGCCAGCCAGGCGCTGAGGGGATGGGGGGGATTTAGCGGGACCTGAGGGGATGGGGTGACACAGCTGGGCGCTGAGGGGACAAGGGGGATTTAGTGGGGCATGAGGGGATGGGGGACCCAGGTGGGTCCTGAGGGAATTGGGGGGGGAGCAGATTTAGCAGGATCCTGAAGGAACAGAGGGACGCAGCCAGGCGCTGAGGAAACGGAGGGAGATTTAGCAGGGCCCTGAGGAGACGAGGGCACCCAGCCAGGCACTGAGGGGACCGGAGGGGGATTTAGCTGGCCTTGAGGGGACAGAGGGACTTGGCGGGGCCCGAGGGCCAGTAACGGGGCGGGAGAGCTGTGCCTGCGGACCCCGCCCCCCCCGCCCGCCGTCAGGTACTGCGGCGGGAGCTCGCGCTGAGCACCGGCCCGCTCCCCCCCCCCCGGGGCGGCTGGAGCTGCTGCCGCAGGGAGAGCAGGGGGGTCCCGGGCCGCGCTGCCCCTCTCGGGGGCCGGCTCCTTGTCCTCGGGGCCGGCCGGCAGCCCCTCGGGGTCCGCCGGAGAAGCCCTTCGCTGTCCGGAGCGGGCGGGGAGGGAATGCGGGGGCAGCGCGGCGGCTTTTGGCCACGGCCCGTGAAGGGATTTGGCGGGCTTCTGAGGGGGGGGCTGCAGAGCCCGGTGAGCTTGTGGCTGCAGGGCAGGCGATTCCCAGCGGGCTCCCAGGCAGGGGTCTGCTGGTATAAATCAATCCCCATTCCTTCCTGGGGCTGACGGGGAGCATGCACGCACCTCCAGGAGCATGACGCTGCTCACCTCATGTTAGGTTCCTGTGAATGGAAAGCACCTCCCCAGCTCTCTTCTTCTTCTTTCTTCTTCTTTTCTCCTCCTCCCAACCTCTTTCGCCCTTGACATTTTAAAAGCCTGCTTGGGAAGCACCACCCCATCGCTTTCTCTGCAGGTGAGCAGGTCCTGCGTGGCTTGGAGCATGTTTGATAAAACCATCTGGGTAAAGGCAATTTGCAGAAGGAAAAAAAAAAAAAAAAACCCAAAACCAACCAAAAAAACCAAAAAGAGCTTCAGATCCGATCTCTGTGCAGAGGGATAAGGGTAAAGGAGTGCAGCCACCCACCTGCATCAGCCACAGCCACCACCACCACCACCAAGAGGAAAAGGCAGTATGCTTGCACACTTACATATCACTAGCCAGAAAGAAGAAAAAAAAACCTACCAGCTCTCCACTTCATGCTTTCCATGCTTTGCTTTATATTCAGGCAGAGCACAGCGAGTTTCCTGGTGCTGCTGAGCCACAGCCCAGTGCATCAGCTGTTGCCATATCACAAGGCACCTGTGGTTTTCCCCATCTCCCGGGTGGCCTGGTGTTAGCTGAACATAATTAGATCTCAATTATCACCAGGAAAGTTTTGAGCCTCTTCCCAGCACGGCTCTACAGCTGGTTTTAGTGGAAGGCAGGGCTCCATCCCTTCAGTTGCCTTTAGGCAGAGCTGGCACCCTGGGCTGGGGCTCAGACGTGGCTGTTTGCAGAAGGAGAGGGGGTTCTGCTATAAAAGGCCCTTGGAGCGATGCATCCCCAGTGTGGACCTGGAGGAGCCCCCCACGAGCCCCGAAGCAGGTGTCCACTGTCCCTGCATGGGTACAGAGCCTGCGCGGGCACGCTGCACCCTGCGAGAGGGAAACGACTTGCACCCGTGCCCAGCTGTGCCAGCTCCAGCCCTTCCTAGTTCCAACGCTGACTTCCAACCCGGGGGTGCAGAGCCAGCCCTGCCTGCCCCGCTGGTGACAACAGCTCCCGGCGGCAGTTTGCAGGATCAGAAACCCCACGGGCAGCCGGCACTGCGTGTGGATCACCACGTGCATGGGGAGCACCGGGGTGCTGCGTCCATGGCACGCAGGGACCGGCAGTGCCGGGAGGGGAGGCCGCGATGTGCCAGGCATCTCTGGTTCTCACAAACTGCTGGATCTCCCCGCCGGTGTGGAGCTGGCAGCTGGCTCCCGAATTGCCCGGCTGCTTTTCCCCTGACCTCCGAGTCACCTTGAGCCATGCTGGCTGCAGGCGTTCGCTCTGCCGTGGGATGCTGTGAATACTAAGGAGGCAGGATTGAAAATTCACCTCTGTGGCGGGGCTGGATTGGGGTCAGCACTGCCAGCGGGCACTGGGCAGCTGCAGCAGCCGTGCACACCCCAGAACTGGGCTGTGCTGTACGGGGCTGTGTTGGAGGGACCTGGAGGGACAGAGCCATGTCCACAGCCCTTCTGAGTCCCTCGCATTCCTGCTCCTGCTCTCTCCTCTGCTGGCCTGGGGCTCCCCTTTGCTGTCCCTCTCATCCCCGTTTAACCATTTTGGCCGAGCGGTGGCATGTTCCCATCTCCGGCAGCCCCGTCCTGCTCCCTCACCCTGCTCCTTCTCCCAGGCTCCCTCCCTCCCTCCTCTTTCCATTTCTTTCCAAGCCCTCAGTCTCTCCCCTCCAGCGCTCCTGCAGATTCATTGTGAATTTTGGCAGCGCTGTCTCTGACCTTGGCTGTCTCCCTCCTCTCTTCGCTCCTGCACTGGCAGCATAAATCTTGGCTGTCTCCATCTCTCCTCCCCTTCCCTTGATGCCAGTGCCCGGGGATGGAGTGGCCCTTGCCAGCCCCCAGCCCCACGCTCAGCCAGCTCGGGATAGGGCTGGGGAAGGCTTTTGGGCAACCCACCCTACGCCCTCCAGCCCTCCAAAGGCCCGAGGCCATCTCCCAGCTCCCATCCAGCAAAGGCTGCGGGACCCAGGGGCAGCAGAGCGAAAGCAGCAACGTGTGCAGGATGCGTCCCTCCACCTCATCCATTGCAGGTGTCTTCTCGAGCATCTCTGCGGACTGGGGGGTGCAGGAGCAGCCCCCCAGGTGGCACAGCATCCTGATTCCATGGCAGAGCACAGCATGGCAGAGCCATACCGGCTGCCTCTGTGCTCGCAGGCTCATCCCTCTCCGCGTATGAAGGCAGACAGGAGCTGCAGCACGAGTGGTTCTGCCTCTGCCCCCCAAATCCCCAGTCTTGCGGGGGTCCCAGCCTCGGCACCCTGGGCACCCCAGGTGCATCGTCAGCTGCAGGGCTTGGGTGCTCCAAAACAACCATGGCTCTGCTCAGGAGCAGACCGGCGGCGTTTCTGGTTTTCCCAGGGAATTTGGCGATGCTAGAGGCAGCAGTCCCCGGTGCTGGCGCATTCTCCTCCCGGCCCTGCTCCTGCCTGCCCGTCTGTTCACAGGGATGTGCCCGCCTGCTCCAGATCCATCTTTTCCTGCTGATTCGGGACAATCTGTGTCCCGTGACCTACTTGTCTCCAAGCATCTTCTGCCTTCCTGCGGAGTGGGTTGGTACTAAAGCCTCTCTAAATGTGGTTAACGTGTCAGGATGCACTTACATTTATTTTTAATTCTGCTTCTTTCTTGGCCCACTTCTGGATGCGTCCCCAGGGACGCTGTGCTGGGAAGCCTCTGCGTTTTGACACAGTGCACGGGAGCAGCGAGCGGGCGGGTCACAGCACGCACAACCTCCACTGCAAACTTAAAAAATAATAAAATCATGTGTATCCCTGCCCCTGACACAGCAAAAGGTGATGGGAGACCCCAGCCCACCCCACAGCCCCCAGCCCTGCTGCAGCTTGGTGACTGGAGGCACCACGGGCTGGAACCGTTTTCGGGCAGTGCCAGTCAGCATCGGCCACTATGTGAGTGCGTTGCAGCCGGGAATGCAGGGAACCTGCAAACCCATTTTGCTGAGCTAAACAAATAATTAAAATAGACAGAAAACCTTCCCAGGGCACGCTGGAGGAAAATTTAAAAAAATAGTGAGAAAATGGCTAAAAATTATCCAGAGGTTAATTTTTAACAGAGGTTAATGGGGGAGATGTTCAAGGAAGGATAATGTTGTCACCCATCATTGAGCAACAGTGGCACAAGCCAAGCTGGCCTTGCCGGGACTGTGCCAGCACCAGTGCCTGGAAGGGTGCTGAGCCTGTCCAGCCCTCAGCCTGGCTCCCTCAGAAATTACAAATGCGCCTCTTTTTTTGGTGTGTGCACCCCCCCTAAACTCTCTGAACCCCTTTGATCAGTTTTAGCTGTATTTGACAAAGACTTCAGACAAAGTCCCTGCCTGTGTCATAAAACGGGCGGTAAGAGATTCCCATCTGCTGTCCCCACGCTGGAAAACATCCCGGCACCGTGGGTCGCGTGGAGCCCAACACGGCTGCAGAAGGACTCGCTGTGTGGGGGGACCAGGGTGCAGGGCACAGGGTGGGGGGTCAGGGCACCGGCCACGCATCCCCGCAGTCCCGGCGCTGCGAGCTCACCCAGTACCAGCAGTGGCAGCAGCATCGGCGCATCACCTGGTGCGATCGCGGGTGAGCTTGTGAAGATGCCGGAGGCATGTGAATGTGCTGAAGGGAATGGCAATGTGATGGACAAATCTTCCCGGCAGCTTTCAGCAGCCCACCCGCTATTGCTCAGGATTTACGTCCACAACCCCATCTCCAGGCACCGCTCCAGACACGGAAATAGCACACGTCTTATTAACAAACGAGATAAAAGCGTGCTGCTGCCAGCAGGTCACTGCCGGGGCTCAGGCCCGGATCCAGCTTCAGGTCAGGGAGAAGCAGAGTGCGGGTGCTAACACAAGTGCTCTGTGAAAAATGGAATAAATAGCACGGTGAAAGGTGGGGGTGAAGGGGGGGGCTCTGTGCCGCGGGACTGTGGTGGGACTGTGGCCGCGGGGGCAAGCCCGGCTTGGGGAATGGCTCTGGGCAGTGAGCACCATCACGGACTCTTCTGTCCCAGGCTGGAGCATCTCGTGCCTGGCCCAAACCCAGGTCAAGCCCTGACCGTTTCCCTGGGGATTTAGGGACAGGCTTGGGCCTTACGGGGGCTCTCGGCAGGCAGCCGGCCAGGCTGGAGCTCTCCCTGCTGCGTTCCGGGCTGGGAGCTGCAGGGACTCGGGATGCAGTCCCGGCGTCCCCAGCCCAGCTCTGCCCCGAGTCCCCAACGGGGGACGGCTGGTTGTGGGGTGCCCAGCCAGCACCCCATGGGCACGTCCCCCGGGCATGACCCCCACTCTCCCCCGTGCAAAACCCACCGTGCTGCTCTGTCGTCTCCACCCATGCCCCTTCCCACGCAGCCACCCCCCCTTCCACCTCCCCAACCCCGGGGTACCCACAGAAGGTGCGGGTGCTGTCAGGGGGTGCACAGAGGGTCCCCTGTTGCAGGCGGGGCGTGCACAGACGGTGCCGGTGTGCAACCGGGCGTGTGTGCGTGCGTGTGTGTGTGTGTGTGTGTGTGTGCACCGGCGGGGCCGGCAGCTCGGGGCACCCACCGCCCGCCGCCGCGGCTGCACCGGCACCGGCACCGGCACCGGCCCGGGGAACCGGGGACGCGGCGGGGGTAGGCAGCCCGGTGCGGGGTTTTTTT